CTGTTTATTTGCGAATTTTAAACTGGTATCGTTCATCATTAGGCCGAAGATTGTCATTCAATCATCCACGCAGCAGTTTCTTAACAAGCTTTCAGATGCCTTCCACTCGTCCGTCGTTTTCTTTAAGATATTGGGCAAAATATTAGCCAGTGTGTATGAGCAGTGAGGTTTAACGAAGCCATCAAGCAATCTTGATAATCATGTTTCTTCAGTCTACATAAAAGCTCCTTTCTGTCTTTTACGCTATAAGATATCTCCTTAGCAGCATGCACTTTTCTACATTGACAACATTTTTATATATAAGATCAGCGCTTTCTCTTTTAACAATACGTACTTGATTTGTGGTATTATTGGCGGCTGAGTGTTTGCAGAGGTAACATCCAAACCTTTTACACTGAAAATAGTCAGTGTCTGGAGCAAAATTCATCGCGATACTTGCCCCAGGTCATTCTTGGCCTTGCTTGGCTTCACTCGTATGGTCGAGCAAAGTAATAGTTGTTTAGCCTTCCTTTCTGGAAGAATTTGCAAATGCGCCCAAGCCTTATTACTCTGTGACTGCTTGTGCTAACAAAAATCATTGGTTGTGTACAATAGCTTACTTGGAGATCTGAACTTCGTACTCTGTCTAGACGCGCGACTCCAGCGATTCGTCTCAGAAAGACCATTTCTGGCGGTTGTATCCGGGTAAATTTCAGCAAACAACTGAAACTTATTGAACGGGAATTCACGTTCATTTGGAAACACGGTTATCGTTCTCATAGAGAGACTTCAACTGACAAGAAGTGACGGTTCGCTGACTTTACTAACCGATGGTGAGCCCAGGGAATCTTTCTTCTTGCCTTCTACTTCGATGCAACTTGCGACACTGAGCGCACACGTTGTCAAAGAAATGTGTTGTCTCACTTTCCACTACCTTAGTATTTAACTCTTGAGACCAATTGTCTTCTGAACAGTTAGTGACTACTTTTAAACTGTTTCATGCGTTGACCTTCGCATTTGTTGCCTTCGGTGATCAATTGTTCAATCTTTCCAAAGACAATGCATATCGATATATCTGAGCTGTGCTTCAATGTTGCGCACCATCCCCTTTCATTCGATGGAATTATGGAACTATTTAACTTGACTGACAGTCGACGCAGGTACATTTCACGTCCTTCGATACCATTCGATCAAGGCGAACGTCAATCTGTTGTCACTTTGACGCGCAACATGTCCGAAGTATTTTTCTTTTCTCCTTCTTGTTTCCATGATGTTATGACTGCTCAGACAACTATTATTTTGCCTCATCTAGTCTTCCACCTTGCCTCGTAGGGCAAGTATTTAATGAATTTGCAAAATGGTTACATGGTAGCTTTTCTGAGCCGAGAGCATAGTTTGATTGTCATATATGAAAACGAGCAGCATAAAATGAGAATTCTACGGTATTCTAAGGCTGGTCTGATTTCTGAAGAACTTTGCTTTAAGGTGAATTAATCTCTCTCAGCCAATTCATGGATTAGCGTTAAATAAATGACAAATATTTTTCCCATGAATTTATTTCTGATATCTCTGTTATATCAACAATAAACTTTGGAAAGCACTTCAACCTTTCAAAGCGCAGTCTGATCAGGAAAGCAGTCAAACTACAAACCTGGATGAAAGATTATATGCTACCTTCAGTATTAGCCCCAAAGAACCATGGTGAAATTTTTCATCATGTTTTCCACCCTTCGACCAAAGGAAGTCAGTTCACATTTCACTACACTCACCCATTCACTCTCTCTGGTAGCAGTTTACTTTCGGTAGCGCACGGAGCAACTTCGATATGCTTTACCAATATCCCTATCCTCTGTCAGTCGAATAAACTCCATTTGGGCCGGATTCTGAAGGGCGACATTGTCATATGTTCAAGATAATCCTGTAATAATTATTATTGCCCGTGAGCCACCTTACGTGTGATTTTACTAAGGGTCTGCGTAGTGTGATAGAAATGTTTACACAAGAAAACTTATATGGAAAAGCTTACTCGCTCTTGTCCCCTTTTCGACTTCAGTGCTGATAATTGAATCCGCACGTCACTTCTGTAAAAAGTGTTAGCCCTTTACACGACGTTGTATCTTATCATTTATACTGCGCATATAAAAAAATGCCTATTCTGCTTAAAGCTCATGCCGCTGCCCATACAGAGATTCACATACATGGAATGAACCAATTTGCCTATCCACCTAGGTGCTGAGAAAGAGACATCACGCTGGATACTGTACGCTATCGATTCTTATTGCACTCGCGGCAAATATTCTTGCACCGTCACCTGAATGAGATTTTTTCCTTCAACAGCGTTGCTATTGATGCAATTTGTTCAACGATACAGTACGCGTTAACAAGCATACTGTATAGATTCAGCGTTGGATTACATTTAACCATATCTGACTCATTCTGGACGTAATCGATTCGCAGCCAGTGAGAACCTTTATTTTTAACTTTCAAGGATACGGGTGTAATACTCTCGTTTGGTCGAATTAATAGTGGACAGCACAGTTGCAGACTTTGTGTATTATTCGTTCCGTTCGTTGAAACAACTTCAACAAATAGGAAGCTTTTTAACAAGGTTGATTCGATAAACTGAATGTTTTTGAACATCCGAAACAGCAGTTTAGAGTTTTGGTTTAAAGTAAATCTTCTTGGAAGCAATCTCGACTGCTTGCCCGGTTCGCCGATCATCACTTCACGGTTCTGTCTCTTCTTGTAAACATGCTTTTCATGTAGATAATGACTGAAAGGCACGGTGTAGGTCCCAATTGCAGCTCACACTCACAAAATTTGATTGACGTCTTGAAGGACCAGGTAGAGATAAATTAGACGGTCACGTTGACAGGTAATGATTAGAAGATGGAACGCGATGGTCAAACACTGATCGGTAGATCTAGAGAGATTGTCGAGATTTAATCCATGCCAATCCTAAGGCACTTGTTTTTGCTGTTCGCGTGTATCGAGTTCATTTATCAACGATTATTTAAAAAGTTATTTGCATTCGCACAACCGACGGGTCGTACTTTTTGGGGCGGTGAAGAACAGCCTGAGGCAAGCATGTTGAAGGGTTCTCCCCAGACTCAGGTTGTCTTCTGTCAATGCTGAGTCAGCTGGCCAGAATTGTGAAAGTTGGTGACACTGTCTGACGCATTTGCTTCCGCCACTCGAATGGATAGGAGGTCTTCAAAACAGATTGACTGAAAAGTTATTTACTAACCGCTATGCTTCGACGAACAAGGTGGACGACACTCAGGATCCAACATTTCCATTCTTGCTGAAAAGAAAGGCGAACTTCTATGCAAAAGACACTTAAGCTTTGTCAGCTGTCTACTTCCGGATCTTTTCATATGCCGCTACTTCAAACCTAGGGGTAAGTTATTTAGTTATTTGAAACTTGTCAGCAAATCGAACATTTCGTAGCCCATTTGGTACATGTACAATTGTGGAAAAAGCAATTTCTGCATAATTAACGCTAAAGGCAACTGGGATTTATACCTCCATTGCGGTATATAACGATTCTTTGAGAAACTATCATGATTCATCTAGCCAAGGATTGAGGAGTGATGCTGATTTGTTTCAATTTAACATGCAATTTCATTAATGGTCATGGCAAATGGTTGGTTTTCTGTGCAATTGGACATTTTTCAAGTGTCGCTGGTTTGTAGAAGATGCATGGCATTTTTGAATTGATATGGATTGTAAAACCTCTTTAAAGCAACAATTTAATCACTTGAAATTGATGTCTACAGCTTATACTGCTATCCTGATATTTCAGGTATGGTTTCAAAACAGAAGATCGAAAGACAGACGCCTGAAACATCTGTGCAATTGGATTCGTCAAAATGAACATAAAAGCGCAGCAAGCACGACCGAAATATGTTCCGCTCCCAGCAGCACTCATTCTGACTCCAGTATATGATTAAAAAACATTCTAGCCATAAAAAATGCAAGATGGTATGTCTCGCACTTACTCAGCATGTTGATATGTGATCTGTCTCATTGGAATTTAATTTGCAACTATTTATATATAAGCAGCATCCTTGTATTTGAGCATTAAGTTACAGCGGACAGGATCTGCCATCTTGTAATTGTGCTGCATTTTGCTTTGTGCTCTTCATGCTAAGTAATTATTGAGCTGATACAATGAACTTCAGATTTAGTTTTGAATAAAATGTGTCCTAGCATCTCCGCTGATGCTCACAATGCTGTATGAAGCCGCCGCTCTTATGTCCTGGATTAAATATGCTATCCGTTCGTTTGCGAACAGATCTGTTGAACAAAGCTCACTTCGCAATAATTATCAAATTGCGTGTCCAACATCTGAATTCTTAAACTAATTCCATTAAATATGGTTTCCATTCTCCATCAGAATAAAATAATTCTCTTGATGCAGGCGTCAATTATGTGACCAATCGCATGGTGGGCAGTGTGTACGAGGTAAGGTGTGTAAGAGATCAACTTCGAAGTCTAATTCCGGAGGTGCTGAGTTCGACTCTCAGGGCTGGAAATCTTAGCCTCCACAAAGAATTTCCTTGAAAAGGTAATTAATCTTGTTTTGCTCTAGAGGTTGCTCGATTGGTAGAGCGTCAGCTCAGAACCGAGAGGTATTGTATTTGAGCCCTGGTCAGGGTCAGGGTACTTTCTTCCATCCAATGTTGATAAAT